GATAAGGTGTTACTTTGTACAGCATTTCATACTGAAAATCAGCCAGAAGACAATTTCCTGACAATGTGCTTGCCTAAGCTATATACAGCACAACACCTTGCTACAGACACAGCTTAAAGCACACATGCAGACTGAAAGGGCTATCCTGACACATTCTGTACATTTCTGATTATAAAAGCTGACAAAATGTTTCTGGTATCTAGATGTTGCTCAAGACCTTTCACAACAGCAGTACAATGAAAACAAAGAGCTCATACAGAGCAACAAAAGAATTGAAGTTTTTGCAAATTGGATCCAGAACTGTATCAAGCTGCAGATACTAAATTCCCAGACCAAACAGAAATGCAGGCCCAAAATAAAACCTAAGGAAGACTCCAGTACTCCATGTGCTGTCCTTCTGCTGCAGAACTGCAGTGTTAGTGCTGAAACAGAACTGTGATTTCTGCAGCTCTGGCATTACACTGAGGTCCCTTTATCCCACGCAGATAAACTGTGTGTGAATAGTGACTGAGATCAGACTACAGCAAATATCCACAAAATTACTCCCAATCACATTTACCTGGCCAGAATGTTGGATCACACAAAATCTTTTTTTTTTTTTATATAGGGGCACAATCAGCACCCACTAATGGACTCTTTCAACCAATGCCCAGCACCTGAAACCATCTCTTTAAACCATCTCTGCTCAGTGCTGTCTTAATATGCTACAATGACACTTGAGAAATTATTAAATACACCCAAGCATCCAAGACATGAGAAATTGCTTCAGAAAGTGACCTCCTCCTATGAGGACTCCTTTAGTTGTAGTGAAGTCCAGACACTTTACAGCCACAGGCAGAGAAAGCAAAGCAAGCCTGTGAACAAAGCCTTGCATGGAATATCCCTGCAGGCCAAAGTCAGGGTTGGCTTCTTACCTCAGAGTCAAATTCACAGATAGAAACAAAAGATAAAAGACAACTTTACAACTCTAGCTCTACAATTATTTAGTGCTTGGGACAGAAGCTAGAACAAGAAATACAGGGAGAAGTAAACAAGTTCAGTGCTTAGAAAGAGGAGGAAGGACACACTACTCCCATGAAAGGAACATACCACAATTAAAATCCCCACTTTAAAAGCAAGATTTTTCTTAACTTCCAGTGGTCTGAGTCACTAACTTGCATACACTCAGAAAATGGCATTTCTTATTATGTTAAAAGTCACATTTTATACTGTACCAAACCACAGGCCACAACTGCAATTTGGCCCCAATCTGACAGAACAGAAGCAACAATTTGTCAAAAGCAACAATTTTCCCAGGAGTATATATGTAGTACAGAGCTCATCTTAACACACAAAAAAAAAAAGTGACTTCATCTCAAAGTTTTAACTTGTCATCTGAGGACAGCTGACTACACTAGATTTAGCTGCATGAATATTTAGMTACTCCCAATGAGTATCTCTGGATACTAAACACCAATTTCTAATCATCTCTTCCTGGATCCTCCATGGCCAAGTCCATCAGCAGGGGCTCCTTTTCACTGACATCCAGCAGGACCATTCAGTCCCAAGGTTCTCAAAAAACAATCATGGATACACCAAGCCCAACAGCCTCACTTCAACTGATCAGACTATGCAGTCATCACAAATGTGAAATGGAACACACCTAACAAAAAGCTACCTCCTATTCAAGTTTTACAGCATAATAAAAGGATTTTCGAGTCCCTTTTCTTTGTATTTGCAAAGASTTCATAGAGCACAGAGTTGATGAAAACACTTTGTCTGACATTATASACATACTTGATTGAGATGCTCAGCGGAATTAAGGTCAAATATGGAAACCCAAGTTAGAATGGAGAGCCTGAATGTACAAGTAAAGCTTTAGCACAGTAAAGCAGCCATGGCAGCTTGCAATGAGCTGTGTTTGGCTGCTAAACTCTGCTGCAGAAGAGCAGTGCCCAAATGCTCTTAATTCAGCCACACAGCACTAAGAGTGGAAGTCATGCTAGCCTGATGCATTTGGGAAACACCAACACTCCACAGGCTCAAGACAACTTCAGCACTTCAGTCTAGGAAYTCCCTTCCAGCACATCTGCCCCAGCTCTCACCTCCAGTGTACAGTCAAACCTTAAATTCAGAACTATCAGTGTACATATCAGTATCCTCCTGTTCCACTCACAGAATAGGTTAACGTAAGCTGGTCAAAGTATTCTTAGTCAGTAGCATCTTCAACAGATTGTTTTTTGTATTTCCTACAATAGTTGCCATGAACCCTACCAGTTCAATCCTGATTTCCTTTACCTCCTCTCATTGTTAGATAAAAAACATTACATTAGTTTAGAAACATAACATCAAATATGAAAGATRAATATAGAACACCTCATCAATGTGTGCCTTGATCTGCAAGCACTGTGGAGCCAYMCTTGAAAAGAGAAACATCACTCATCTCAACCATGAGATGGGCCCTGAGAACCTGACAGCTCCCCAGCCATCCAGTCTGGCAAACTTCCACACCATTTCCACAAAATAGAGCATTTCTGCACAAGAAATCCACTCGAGTCTTGCAGAACCTGCCCATCACCACTTCCAGCATTCCAGCTTCCTCCACAAAGAAGTTACTTTATTATAGGTATATGCCATTAAATAYTCTGTAAAATTCCTCACATTAACCRCTTYCCTCCTTTTTCTGTGGATCCCATCTTTCCTATTACAAGCAACACATATTACAATATTTCTCCATTGTCAAAGAAGCAACCTTTCTTGCTAGGTGAAGAACTGTGRGATCCTARAGTAATTYTGAAACCAKTTACYCTACCAATCATTCTATGAAAAGCCCATTAMATTCTACCCAAATTTCCAATTCATATGTATCAGACCAAGTGTTACAGTGAACTGCAAAAACTGCCAAGACCTGCYATTCCCAACACAGGAAATCAAAGCAGCAGTCACAATATGGCTGAATTGTTTTTAAACACAACCCATGACTCTTAACGCCGCAAAATAAAGTCACAGGTTTGTCTTCAGACAGGTTTTAAACCTGCCTAGAATGGCAGAGAAGGTTCAAGCTGAACCAGTCTCATTGTCATGCACTGGAAGTTATTCAAAGGAAGGAGAACAAAACCAAAAGGCCTTGGAGCTTGGTGCTTGCTGCTGCTCACACRGGTGATGAGACAGGACATGTTGCAGCCTCAGAACCTGTTGCACTCAAATCCACCAGGCACACATCATTTCAGTCAGGAAATGTGATGCCAGTGAAACTGGAAAAGGTTCATAGTGAGGCCTTAAAGTTTCAATACTAAATACCCATCAATAAAGTAACCCAAATACATTGTCTCTTGTTACATGGGCAAAGACACAGCAGAAAGCAGAGCTTCATTTCCCGGAGTTCACTGGGTTTCCCATGACAGGATTTGGACAGTTGGCTAAACCTGAGATAACATCCCATGTATATGTACTTTGGCCTAAATATAGCCAAAACCTACAAATTACAATATCTCATTTAGGTTGTATGAGTCCAACATCACAACATCATAAATATTTCTCTTAGCAGTACCACAGTTGGCACGCCTGATTCAGTCATTTAAAATACAGAAAAAAAACCCAAACCAAACACTTCAATATTATGTCCTGCAATTTGTTCAATCAGCTTTTCATTTTGAGAATGAACCATTCTACCATTTTTTACCATTGCTATGGAAATCATGCTTGTTCTCCCATCTTTGTAAGGTACATGCAGAGTCCTCATAGCAAAGAGGAAATTGTATTAAAAAAAAAAAGAACACTTAGACATTTCCCTTTAAATAGAAAAATTAACTGCATTTCAAGAAAAGTAAGACCCAGAAAAGGCATAAAACATATCCTCTATACAAAACTGATTCTACTGTCTTACCTTACAGCTCAATGACAAATTGATATTTTTTGGACAAACCTCAAGTATTTTATAAATGAAAAATATTTTCATKTTTCATTAAAGGAAATAAAGAGTTGACTGACAGTTTTCTCTTTTTCAGAAGTTTACTTTCACACAAGGTATGAAMGACCTCAAAGCAAGCTGATGGAGGGAGTGACTTATGAACATATCATAACTCTTCTTAGAAGAAAAAACTGGAAAAGAGAAACAGGTCCAAAAATAAAGGAAGTATGGGTTCCACTCCCAATTTTGACACTTCGTGTGGAAGAGCAGCCAAATTACCTAATCTTTGTGCTTCATATCTTTCCCTCCCCACTGCTCCTGCTCCTCCCTCAACATCTTGTCTATTGAAGCTGTACAATTCCTCATGGCTAGAAGAAAATCTCAGCACACATTCAAACCAACCCGAACAAAATTCAGCCTCAATGCGATGYTATGCTCGCAAGTGCCAATGAAACACCAACAATAAAAATTAATCAAAGACATAGTTGACAGCTGYGAGTCCTAATAAACCTCTGAGCAGTCACTCCTACGATTGTGAGGACATATTGTTTAGTTTGTGCTTTTAAGACAAGCAGGAAAATAAGCAGGGAAATCGAAGGATGTTAGCGTTACCTAACATACAAGAGAAATAAATGTGAACTACATGACTATTTCGAGAGACTGGCTGGGGTGGGGGGGAGGGCGGGGGGGGAATCCGACTAATCTGACCGGAAAACAGGGAAGCGCCGTCTGCCCTGAAGAGCCTCCACCCAGGAACGGGAGTCCCGGTGATTCACAGGCAAAACCAGAAAAAGAAAAATCCCGCCGAGCTCTGTACRGGCGAAAACGGCAGCACTATAGGAAGAAGGTGTGCGGTAAACACACGGATAGAACGAGCCCGTAGCTCAGTGTCAGGGGTCGGAGCGATCCCCAGCGGGATATCGCTCGGTGCCACCGGCAGAGCCGTGACCTACAGCCGGGGAGCCCCATCCGCCCGCCGTGCCCTTCCCGACGCTTGGCGGAGCGCTGCCCGCAGCACGGGGGAGGGACGGGGGCTCGGAAACCCGCAGTGCCGCCGCTCCCGGGCCCCGCCGCCGAGCCGCACCCCCAGCCCCGCTTCCCCGCGCCTCACCTGCACCTGCTGGCGGCAGCGGAGCCGCCTCGCCGCTCCCMACGAGCGGCCACAGCAGAAGGACGAGCCCGAGCAGCTGTCGCGGGCCGAGGAGCCGCGGGCTACCGACCTCCCGCCGCCCGGCGCTCCCGCCGAGCCCCCCGCGCTGCCGCATGCCGCCCGCTCCCGGACCGAGGCCCGGCGCCAAACGAGGGGCTCGAGGTTCTCAGCGACTCCGGGCAGCCCCCGCGGCAGCCGCCGCCCCCCGGCTCCGCGGCATCGACCCCGCCGCCGCTCCCCTCACAGAGCTCCACCGGCCCCCGCCGCCGCCGCCATCTTCCGGGCTACCTGACCGCGCGGGGCGGGAGCTCAGCTGATTGACAGCCCTGTGARCCAATCAACCCGCGCCTCACGCTTAAGAGGCGGTTCCGCTGAGGGGGACGGCGCTAATCTGTGATTGACAGTTGTATCAGCCAATCGCGCCGCAGACAGCGAGCAAGGGCGAGGGAAGGCAGCGGCGCGAGAGCAGCTGCGCGCGGTTGTCAATCAAGCCGCCCTCAGGGCGGTTGGAGGTGGGCGGGGCATCGCTCGGATTGACGGCTCCTTCCGCCAACCGGCTGGCGGGGTGGGGTAGGGGGGCGGGGCTTGACCGAGCCCGCGCAGGCCGAGCGCGGCGCCCCCTGGCGGACGAGTGTGCTGGCGGGGCCGGTCCGGGTTCGGAGCCCCCTCAGAGCTGAACCGGGATCAGAGCCCCGGCTGGAGCACAGAGCCCCGGCCATCCCCGGGATCAGAGCCCCGTTCATCCCCGGGATCAGAGCCCCGGCCATCCCGGGATCATTCCCTCTGGGATTAGAGCCCCGGCCTTCCCGGGATCAGTCCCTGCTGGAGACAGAGCCCCGGCCATCACCGGGAACAGAGCCCCGGCCATCCCGGGATCAGAGCTCCGGCCATCCCGGGATCACAGCCCTGGCCATCCCGGGATCGGCCCCTGCTGGAGACAGAGCCCCGTTCATCCCCGGGATCAGAGCCCCGGCCATCCCGGGGTCATTCCCTGCTGGAGACAAAGCCCCGTTCATCCCGGGATCATTCCCTCCGGGATCAGAGTCCCGTTCATCCCGGGATCAGCCCCTGCTGGAGCGCAGAGCCCCAGCCATCCCCGGGATCACAGCCCCGTTCACCCCCGGGATCATTCCCCCGGGATCATTCTCCCCGGGATCACAGCCGCGTTCACCCCCGGGATCAGCCCCAGGGCACCGCAGCTCCCCATGCAGGCATTCCCTGCAGGAAGGAGCATAGCCCCGCTGCCATTCCCCGGGATGATCCCCTGCGGGATCACAGCCCCATTCACCCCCGGGATCATTCCCTCTGGGATCATTCCCCCCGGGATCATTCCCCCCGGGATCACAGCCCCATTCCCCCGGGAACAGCTCCCCAGGCAGGCATTCCCTGAAGGAGCACAGCCCCGCTGCCGTTCCCCGGGATGATCCCACCGCGTTCCCCAGCGCGGTGAGCCCCAGGTTGGACACAGAACCCTCCGTCTGCAGCCCGAGCGCTTCCAGGGCTGCAGGTGACCTTGTTCAATTATTGATACCAGCAGGATTTAGAAATAAAGATTATTCTCSTTTAGGTCTGTGATTCTGCTGAACTTTGAGTACATGAAAATGAGTTGTCAGCTCTAAGCAGCATAAATTGAAGCGTTAATCCTAAGGAATCAGGGGCTCTCTGCTATGAGGAAATAGGGAAATACCGTATGACTAACAAACTGGATTTCCGTTTTCCAAATAATTTAACAAAAAGGCTAATTATGTCAAGATTATATAATAACTTTGGGAGCACAGATTGTCCAAAGAATGTACAACGAGTGCACCCCTGGGAATTCATGAAAGGAAGGTTTTGTGCTCAAAGTAATATTTGGAACATGGCATCCTGGAAGACAAAACATACACCTAAATCCCCTCGGTCCCTCTGAATTTTTTTCTACCATGGGGATATACCTTCATCAAACCACTCTTACCAAGCCACTGTCTAACCTCAGATATCCTCTGTTTGGTTGAAGACACTAATTGTGTTACCAAATGACCCATTTTTTTTTTTAATGTTCTAATTAGTTTTCCTTCCAAAGAAAATATTTTACTTGAATAATAAAACAATCTTCTCTTCTGTTGCTTTAGTAAATTATTACTAATACATTAGGCTGCTTATAATCAATTACTTTTAAAAAGCAATCTCAGAATAATTGTTTGGCTGGTGAGGATGGATGTGAGACAACATGTGATTTCTTCCCTTTAAAATCAGTGATATGTAATATAAAACATATGAATTAAATTTTTTTCTTGTACAAACAGCTACCAACTCCATATAAATAGCAGCTACAGACRTGAAGTTTAAACCTTCCTCTGCAGCCTTCCAGCATGTTTACAATGCAAGGATGTTCTCATTCCACTGCTGAAAACAATTGGCTGCATCTCRGCACAGGAGGCTGCTTGATTTCCCAACCCACCCTGCCATAATTGAATGTTGGGCCTCTGATGTAATTTTCTGATAAAACAACCTGTTGTTATCTCATCTGGGCCATTATGGCAGCACATCATTACAAGGACTCGTTAGAGCACTGTTCTATAATGATGGGACACKTCAGGTTTGTTGTGAATTAGTCACTGGTAGAAGCCAAACAACCAAACCTTCCAATCCTTTGTTTTACACCTTAGTCACAGTTTCCTCCTTATCTTCAAATACACCACGAACATCAAAAAAAAAACCCAAGATGCAAAGCCTCATCTCTGCCTCCATCCTCAGGAATGTTAGATTCACCCATTTACAATTTCTGCAATTAAACATCTGTGGTAAATACGTGACACTAATGGGATGAGCAACCCAATAGTGAGTAACCTGAAAGATACATAAAAAGAAAATGGATTTACTTAAACATAACTCTTCCTATACATAAAATGGGACGTGTTACCACGTATCACAGCCTCGTGTTTCTTGATTATGCACTGTTATCATTGCCAAATTACTGAAGCTGCTGTTCTGCGTGGGAGGTGTTAAAACCTTTTTTTAGAGACAGATAATTGGATCAACTAAAGGATGTTGATAGTTTTCTTTTCAGTTCGTTTTCCACAATATTTTTGATAACKTTATTGGTGCAGAAGGAATATTTGTGTAGCAGGCTGAGCGAGGTGCCAGAGGGGTGTCAAAGTAATGTGAATAAAGCCCCAAAAGATTCACTAAAATTCATTTAGTACCAAACAGCATCACAGATCCCAGGGATGGAGCTGATCACAGGAGCTCTTTACTCCAGATCACTGTTTCAAGCACGAAGATTGGTTTCTCCATGTATGAATGTTGTGACACACATTCTGCTCTCCCAACCCCATAAGAATCACGTCTCATCCTTTCCAATAAAACCTTTCTTTCCCTGTCAGTGTTGTCTTTTTGTATTTAACAAAGTGATTCGCTTCTTAACCTGATAGAGACAAAATAAATATCACTGGTTTTAACCTCCACCTTCAGTCATTGCTGACCTRATAGTGTTTTTATATAACTGGAGGCTTCTTTCTCTGTCCCAGTACTCCAGCATCCACAATTTCACATCTCAAAGAAAATAGGCTGAAGAAAAACAGCATTTAAAACAATCACTTAAAGACATTTTCTCATTTGTGTCAATCATTTTCTCTTAGTATCAATCTGTCATTCTAAAATGGGTTTAGGCCAGAAATCTCTTGATTTCTTCCCACAAATGCTTAAGCTTGAATGTGGAGAAACAAACCTCTGGAATATAYGGCTCTGCATATTTTGAATTGCTGATACAAAATTCAGTTTGCATTAATTTTAAGATGTGTTAAATAAAGATCAAACAGCTCTTTTTTAATCTGTTCCTTGTAAATCACTAAGGAATTACATTCTTCTTGGGAAATATTTAATATYTGGATTTGCATCTGCCACTAACATCCTGGAAAATTTAGTACAGGTTCTRTTTCTGTTGAGTCARGAGTACCTGGTGGATTTTGATGGGYCTGACTGGGAAGGCCCTACTTACTTTGGCTTCAAAGAGATGGACTTTCAGTAAGCTTTAACATTAAGAGATGAAGATGGATTGTTATTGTAAATGTATCTTATTCAATTAATTTAAATTTACTTTATTAAATCAAATTAATTTCATTTTAGTCCGCTGATCCATTCTATGGAACCAATGGAGTTAGTCAAAAGAATTCATTTTCATGAAAGAGCATTTAAGTACTCCCTCAAAGAAGCATGAGTGCCAACATCAGTATAAATTTGTTCTCAACAAGATTCCATCCTGGTTTACAAAAAGCAGAGTCACAAGTGAATAAATTTCTTTCCCCACATGTTACTCTGATGATGTTGTCAGTCAAATTGCCAATTCAAGCCAATTTTGAAGCTGGTTTTTACACCACTGACAACCATCTAATGCAGAAAGAAAAGATACATCTGGTTGATAAATCTGTATTTTAAAGCTTCCTGTAGAACCTTGCACCAAAATCTTAGGAGAGAAATTATGGGTGTCTATTCCCTCCAGAGGTACAGGAGATTTAATTAATTTCCACTAACATAAAAGGAAATGTAAAGTTATGATTTTTGTGTAAAGAAGTTGTTGTAAAACTTTCTCAGCTCCATTATAAATYCCTTCCAGCCTCTCCTATTTATTTTTAGCAAACATTAAACTGYGTGGACTATTAAATTTTGCTCCAGATGCGGCAAAGCAGAACTGAATAGAGTGAGAAACCATTTAACCAAATGAATGTCTAATGCAGTCCTGATCTAAATATACATTGTATGTGTGTCAAGGGGGGAAAAAAGCAAAGCAGGAAGAATATTCTCACAAACAGCCCAAGTAAGAGACACAGATCAAACAAGGAGGTTGCAGTTCAGCCTCTCCTCATGCCACACTTTCACTAAGGCAGGAGTTGGGGAAGCTGCTCAGCAGCTCTCAGGAACTTGTCCCGTGTGAGATGGCTCAAAAAAGCAAATGGCACTGCGTAAGGCTGGCTGTGTTTTTGCACTGGAGGTGTGGGTGCCAAGAACAGCACTCTGCAAAGGAACAGTTCAGCACCACTCCTGCCTAAGTGGAAGGGTTTAGTAAAACCACCTCCAAGGTGCAGAACCAGGCAGAGCCTCTGACAACAAACCATCTCCAGGCTGCAGAATGCTCCTGTCATCAGCCATGCTTAACCAACTATTGGCTGATGTAAACTCTGCTTACACAATGCCAAAAAGCATTTTCTGTTTCTAGACCTCTTGAWCAGCAGGAATCTCTTCAKCACAAATCCTTTCAATAAAAGAAGRCAAACTTGTGAGCACAAGACAAATATGATTTTCACGTCTCTCTAAATARGAATGCCAGTGCT